ATGGTTTTCAGCAACGAAACCACTTGCATATAAAGAATATGTTATCATTTGCCATAAGCTCACTTTTCCAAGCAGAGTGATCCACTGACCAGCACCATGTGGGGTACACTTTCCACTGACAGATCCCGGATCCCAGTTCATATACATTGCTGGGGATAGACGTGCCAATTCCTCCATAACATGCCCAGATCACCTTTCCCTGCACAGCTCACTTCACACGGACAAACATCATTACACCCACGGATCTCACAGACATGTGATGAACAAACATGACTTTACACTGTGTGGGGATCGGTGCGCGAAGATCTGTGCTGTGCAGAACTCTGTGATGCAGTTTACTCAGGGATCCTCGAATGGTGTGTGGATGCGATGCTGTACTAGGGCTGTCCAAGAAAGGCATCCCCCTCCAGGCCCCCTTTTATTCCTATATAGGTGGCCCCTGAAATGGCTGTGTCCATAATTGACAGCGTACTAAGTTCCTGTCGCTACCGCATCTCCTATTTCTTCCACCTATAGCAGTACCACTGACAAGTAGCTGGTGCGGGACAGTTGGCAGCCGCCACGACCCCCTCCTGGCCGCATGCCCTCGGGCACTGCTCGAGTGCCTGAATGTTTAGTTTGCCCCTGAAGTCAACCTATATTGCTATCAGGGCCGGCCTTAGGCCTTTAAGTGCCCTGTGCGAGAAAGCTTTACAGCGCCCCTCAGTGACCACACCCCTCTGTGACCACACCCCTCAGTAACCACACCCATTTTCTAATAAAGACTCCCATTTTGTTAAGCCCCACAGAAACATATTAAAAAGTATGATAAAAATAAAACTTTTATTCAAAAGGTATAAACTTGTAGGCACAATAGAAGTATTCTTATTAAATAAAACAACAGAAGGCAAACAAGTGGTAAACAATAAATGTCAAACTAAAATAGAGTCTTTAAAAATAAAGTGTCAGGTTGTCATGCCGACACCCTTTTTTCAGGTTGGCCACCGGCACATTCTGCATATGCGTGCCAGCATCTTGGAGGCGGGGAGCATGACGTTACATGACGCCTTGCATACGTGATGTCAAGGTGACGTCACACGCCGATATATGCACCGATATTTTGGTGTATACCTAGATATACACTAAGATGGCGGCGCCCAACACGTGCGGTGTCATATGACATCATGCACCCTGCCTCTAGAACACGTAATTGGCGGAATCCAAAATAGCATAAAAATGTGTTTTGTTTGATGAAACAAATGAAAACGTTTTTAGTTTTCGTTAATTTCATCTGAAATGAATGTTAAGGCTTTGCACATGCCTAATGTTAATTTTAAAAAATAAATCAAGCACTGTGATGTGTTTAAACAAGCTCAGCGCATGTGCATGGCGTACTGCACAATTTGGTGAACACTGTTGCCTGTGTATAATATATATGTGTGTGGGTTTTTTAAAATATATTATTTATTTATTTTTCTTACTGTTGGGGGGGCTTCGGGGAAATATTAGGGGGTCTAAACAGACCTCTGATATTTCCCTTTTAAAATAGAAAATAAATTGAGGACACAAAGTCCTCAATTTCTTTTTCTGCATCCTCTTTTCAAAATGAATGGAGAGCACTCAGTACAGAGGCTTCCCACTGATGATAGAGAAATATTTACTATCACCAGGTTCTGAATGGAGAGAAGCCTCTGTAGTGAGTGCTACTCCCCATTCAAATTCATGAATGAACAGGAAGTGATGTAAATCACATCCTGTTCATTCATAATTGGGGACACATACTACTATGTGTCCCCAGTTATTTACAAACACTGGACTGATCAGACGAGGGTGATGTCAGACAGGTAACAAATCACCAATGTCAGGATCACCAACAGGCTGCCTTTTTGTTCCTATGGAATCACTCCCTGTAGCCAGATGCAGCACAATGTCACTATGTTGCTGGCCCGAATGCTGCTGAATCTGAAGGGGGTGACATCTTGCTGCCGTGAGCAATTAGGGACATACAGGCAGCCTCTTAGGGCTAGTTCAAACCAGAACTGCATCACAACTGTGTGCGCCTGCGCAGCTACAGTGCGATGAGTTTTGCTGTGATTTTACCACTTTTTTTACGCTTAAAATAGTGCTGTCCAGTGTGTTCCAGTGTGTTTGCATGTGTTTTTGATGCGTTCCATTGCGATCAGGGGCAGCTTAAATGAGACAAGCATTATTTTTTCTGACTGCATTGGAATGGATTGCACTGGTGTGAAGAGCGCACCAGAAATACCATTAGAAAGCATTGTGACACGATTTTGATGCAGCTGCCAAACTGAACGGACTGCATCTGATGTGAACTAGCCCTTAGGCCAGGGGCGCCCACAATTTTTCGTCTAGAGATCTACTTTTCAAATGACGAGCTCAATGAGATCTACCAGCGAAAAAAAACACCATTATTTAGAAAACAAGCACATTGAAATCGTTACTGGGACTACAGCCTCTCTCCCGCGCTCTCTCCTTTCTCTCTCTAGGCCGGTTCACACCACAAAGTCTGCGTTCCAGAGCGTTCGGCCTCTGGAAAGCAAGCTGGCCGGCTCCCTGCGTTCAGGGGCGGGAGGGGGGTGTGGCGGTGCATTAAAGTCAAAGGCACCGCAGCCACGCCCCTTGTCTGCTGTTCGATCGCCCGCACCCCGATCGATCTGCAAAAATGCTGCATGCACTATTTTTGCAGATCGCACTGGACCGGAATGCAGGCACTAATGTGCCTGCGTCCTGGGTGCGGGCAATCGTGGCTGCGGTATCATTGACTTCAATGCACTGTCATACCCCCTCCCGCCCCTGAATGGGGGGAGCCGGCCGGCTTGGGTTCCAGAGGCCGAACGCTCTGGAACCTCAAACTTTGTGGTGTGAACCGGCCCCTTCTCCTGGCTGTCTCTTCTCTCTCTCCTAGGTCTCTGCTGTTACTTCTCTCTCTCCTAGCTCCCTGCTGTCTCTCTTACCTCTCTCTGCTATTTCTCTTCTTTCTCTCTCTCCGCTGTCTCTTCTCTTTCTGCTGTCTCTTCTCTCTCTCTCTCTGCTTTCTAGCTGTCTTTTCTTATCTCCACTCCCGCTGGACTGGAGTGGAGATAAGAAAAGCTGGACTGGAGTCCTCACTCCGATAGGACGACCGGAGAGTGATGTGCCGATGACGTAGTTCCGGTGCGCCACCTGTACGAGAGTCTCGCCGCTGCACCGCTACGATATGGGAGAAGTCTAGCTGAGGACGCTGCATGCTCTCCCCTACTAAATATGTGAATGGGCAAGGTAGAACAATGGGAGTGCACCACAGTCGCTGCTGTTAACTAGGGCTGCCACCTGTCCGGGATTCACCCGGACAGTCCGGTTTTGAAATCTTGTGTCTGGTTTTCAGGTCTGCTGAGCCCGGGCACAAGTTGTCAGAACTTCAGGTGGACAGGGAACAACCCCGGGGTCTTACTGCTGAGGCTGCACTATATTGGAAGCTGTGAGCTGACATGTGCGATCTATGGAGCTCCTCAGTAAGTTCTCCCGTTCTGTGATCGTTTTTTTTCTTTCTGGTGGAGGTGCAGGGTAAGTGTTTGTGTTCCTTTGTTGAACGGTATGTGCTCAAATCCTTTGCCATCTGTGACAGTATCGCCTTCCGGTCCCGGTGGAGCTGGGGGATTCCCCCAGAACGCAGGGGAAGTTTTGTGAGCGATGTGGCAAAACATTGCCTGCGTTCTGGTCCAGTGCAAACACAAAAAAGCAGCATGCTGCATTGTGAACTCCGAGTGTTAATAAATATCTGGAAGTATTATACTTGCATTTATTTTCTTTAAACACTCCCGTCCGGCCATTTGTGAACGGCCGGACGGGGGTCTGCTAGGAGCTGGAGGGCGTCTTAAGACGTCCTGCCCCTCCCCCCTCTCGTGTGCGGTGCTCATCACTCACACAAGAGGGAAAACTGTGAGCATGTAAACAGCCAGCTGTTTACATACAAGCGATCGGGCGTCTCTAGAGACGCACGATCGCTTGCAGGAGCTGCGGGTGTGCGCTCCCCCCCACCCGTACCTCTGTCCCTCCGTCTCCTGTGATCTGCTGTGGCCAGTGCGGCTGGAACCGGCACAGCGACGCTCTAACAGCAGATCAAAGGGAGATCAGTACTCGATCTCCCTTTTGATCTCTTTTCACGTCCCCGAATGCAGTATATTACATAACTTCCAGCATTCAGTGTCACTCTCTGATGAAGCAGATCTCTGCTTCATCAGCTTCTCTGAGGGTCCCTAGGTGACATCGGAGGTCTTGGAGACCCCTGATGTCTCCATAAAGAGGACCTGTTTGGTGAACTTGCTATCACATTGGGGATTTCTTAGTCCCCTATGTGATAGCAATAAAGTTAAGTCTAAAAAAAATTAAAGCATAAAAAAAAATAAAGAAGCTAATTATTTGTAATAATTTTTTTCAAAATTTAGGGTACTTTTTTTGTTATATACCACCACCAAAAGAAAGCTCCATCTGTCCCCAAAAAATGGTATGAAATTCGTTTCAGTACAGCGTTGCATGACTGAATAAACGTCAGTCAAAATACCGCATAGCTGAATACTGAAAAATGGCCTGGCCAGAAAGGGGGTGAAACACCATAGTCTTCAAGTGGTTAATACATGCAACATAAAAATATATATCTCTTCGCTTCTCCTATATTCCCAAAAAAAAGTGTTCTGGTTTCCCATGAAGAAAAGGTGGCATCCCTACTGTTAACACCTGCAGCGCCGGCAGATCCCCACTCTGTCTAGGATCCAGCATCACTCAAGGGAGGATTTGCATAGTGATCAGCATCCATCCACACATGGGATACACTTTATTAAAGGAAAATCATTACTATAGATCTGCTTTAGATAGGTCACGATGAGATTACGAGGCATAGCAGTCGTTACAAGAATACACTGCAAAGTCTCCCTGTGTACTTGACGTTGCCCAGTGCAAACTAATTTCTCCACACATGAAAGCGGAACGTTAGAGCCAGTGGTCGGGAGATGGGGAAAGATATCTGAACCGGACGTTGTCATGGACACGCGGCCCTTACTTCCGACAGAGTGAAACATGGTGGGGAAAATAAAACGTGCTCGGCAGAAGCTGCATAATGCAGCGGTGCGGGTTAGCACCCAGGAGGAGAGTGGTCCCGTTGTGCCCGAATACAAGGTGCCTTCAGACGGTGAGCCGCCCAAGCCATTGGCCTGGCACAAGCAGGATGGAGGAAAGGTGAGTGTACGTACACGTGTGTATGAAGCCAGCTGATACCCTGATGTGTGCAGAGATCGCACAATCCCAGCGTGCACTGCGCGGCTTCTCCTGACCAGGGCTGATAGATAGCAATGGCTGCCAGCCAATGTCCACTTCACCACCAGCCGGAAACCATATTGCAGATCTGTGCCCAATAGCAGAGTGTGCCCCCCCTGGACCTTTAGTAATAACTAATTACATGAACAGTAAAAGTTCAAAGATGTCCAGAGTGTAGTGTTAATATAGTGTATACTCATTGGTTTATGTTAGTGGCATTCTTTATTACAGGAACTCCTGTAAATCAATGTTTAACACTGGGTTACTGCACTGATCTGGAAGAAATACACAAAGCATGCCAAGATTCAAATAATAATACACATGCCTCTTGTACTTGGACGATATTTGCTTATTCTGGAGTTCAGCCTTAAACACGTATAAAACATTAAAGGAGAACTATGAGGTGAGTGCTTTTCACTCACCTCATAGTTTTAGCCGACCTGTGACAATGACACTGTCACAGGTCGGCTCAGTAGATCGGGAGGTGAGCGAACACATACCGGGTTCGCTCGCCTCTCGATCCTGTCACGGCTCTCTGCCGTGACAGGGGCTGGATTCTCCTCCACGCTCCGATCTGCCAGCGCTGACTGGCGGAACAGACGGGGGAGGGGGCGGGTACAGCTGGCTCTGCCTCTAGATAGGCAGAGCCAGCTGTCACTCACGCAGCTGGGCGGATCCCGTCATCTACGTCGGGATCCGCTCCGGCGTCTCAGTATACCACGAGCTGTAGCTCGCGGTATACTGAGCTTAGGGTAACTGGAGGACGCTAGTTTGTGTCCTCCCGTTACCCCAAGTAGAACTATGGGGAAAAACACTGACCCCATAGTTCTCCTTTAACGCCTTATTTTATTTTCCTATATTTAGACATGTAGCCACCCACTTCTTGATTATTCACCTAGGCTGCCCACAGCCTCTTGGGATATCTACGAAGCAGGTCAGGTCTCCCTAAAGATGGCTATTCACTGTGCAAATTTTGGCAGGTTCTTTAGGAACCGGCTGCAATTCGCACAGTGGTTGCCTCTGTCAGCACCCTTTTGGCTGGCGTCCTTTGATCAGCTGATCGAAGGAAAAGTTCAGAAGATCTTTGTGTGAACAGAGCTAGCAGCCATTGAGCTGCTGGCTCTGCTCGGGTATTCTGACAGCGGCCCGTGACCGCTGTCAGAATAAATAATAAACAGTGGGGATTCATTGTTTTCATTGTGGGGATTCAATTTTCATTGTGAGCTGCAGGGATCTCGTTAAAAGAGAACTATGGTCAAAATTTATTTTTGGGCTATAGTTCTCTCTTTTGGGTAACAGGAGTACCATTAATGAACTCATGTGACCCAAAGTCAGATTATTAGAACAGTAGAAAGGCATCATGGCACACTCACAAACTAGCATGTAAAACAACTTGTCTCACCATATCTTCTGCCCCATGTGCTCCAAGATGGAGCACATTGATATCTTCTGCCCCATGTGCTCCAAGATGGAGACTCTCATAGTTTAGAGTTAGGACCGCACTATAAGAGGTGCCTTGGCGCGGCAGTGCGGCTTACACATCCTTTGCAGAAGACGTGTATCCAAACCTCTGTCATTGTCCTTAGTGGTGAGACAAGTTGTTTTACATGCTAGTTTGTGAGTGTGCCATGATGCCTTTCTACTGTTCTACTGTTCAAAGCCCATTTCGTGTGCACCTTACTGTACAACTGGTAACAAATTGTTGAGTGCGTTTGTCGTTTGTTTTGCTTTACCAAAGTCAGATTATAGCACGCTACTGACTACTATATGCTGTCAATGCAGAGCTGTGACGCAGCCAACATTATTGTCGGGTTCAACCCTGCTGCCTGCGTGACAGCTGGCTCTGCTTCTTTAGGGCCAGCTGTGCCCTCCCCTCCTCTGTCTGCTGCTCCAGTCAGCGCTTGAGGAACAGAGAAGGGAGGGAGGAATTGGTCACTGACAGTCATTACTCTCTGCAGGGAGAAGCTGTGAGTTGACCTTCTTAAACTATTGAAAAGAGTACATTTTACTCTCCCAATAGTTTACCTTGAAGTATATGTGGGTGTAAAAACACACACCCAAAAATATTGACACCCCTTGCATTTCTGTCAGATAATGCACCAGTTTGTGCAGAAAATTGTTGCAATTACAAATGTTTAGGCATTCTCATTTTTATTTCTTTTGTTTTGTATTGGTATGACACAAAAAAGTGGAGAAAGACAAGCCAAATCCGACACATTCCACGCAAAACTCCAAAACTGGACTGGACAAAATGATTGGCACTCTCAAAAATTATTTGGTAGCACAGCCCTTGGAAAAAATAACTGAAATCAATGGCTTCCTGTAACCATCAATGGGTTTCTTGCACCTCTCTACAGGAATTTTGGACCACTCTCCTTTCGTCAACTGCTCCAGGTCTCTCAGATTGGAAGGGTTCCTTTTCCCAACTGGTGTTTTGAGATCTCTCCACAGGTGCTCTTATCGGATTCAGATCTGGACTCATTGCTGGCCAGTCCAGTACTCTCCAGCGCTTTGTCTGGAACCATTTCTGTTTTTTTTTTTTTTTTTTTACATGTGTTTTGGGTCATTGTCCTGCTGTATGACCCATGACCTCTGACGGAGACCCAACTTTCTGATACTGGGCCCAACATTGCACCCCAGAAGTCTTTGGTAGTCTTCAGATTTCATAATGCCATGCACACAGTCAAGACATCCAGTGCCTGAAGCAGCAAACCAACCCCAAAACATCAGTGAACCTCCACCATGTTTGACTGTAGGGACTGTATTTGTTTTCTTTAAGGGCCTCATTTCTTTTTCTGAAAACAGCAGAATGATGGGCTTTACCAAAAAGCTGTAATTTTGTTTTGTCTGTCCACAGCACATTCTCCCAAAAGGATTTTGGCTTCCTCAGGTAAGTTACGGCAAACTCCAATCTGGCTTTGTTTCTGTGTCAGCAGTGAGGTCCTCCTGGGTCTCCTACCATAGAGTTTCTTTTCATTCAGATGGCGATATATAGTGCGAGCTGACACAATTGTACCCTGTGCCTGAAGGTCAGCTTGAATATATCTGGAAGTTGATCGAGGGTCTTTATCCACCATTCAAGCAATCCTTCGTTGCAATCTTTGATCAATTGTTGTCTTTCGTCCACGTCCAGGGAGATTAGCTACAGTGCCATGGGCTGTAATCCTCTTGTCAATGTTGCGTTCATTCGACACAGGAACATTAAGATCTCTGGAGATGGACTTGTAACCTTGTGATTGTCCATGCGTTTCCACAAAAACTTGGAATGCAATTATTTTTTGCAATTTGGAGAAGGTGCCAATTATTTTGTCCAGTCCATTTTTGGAGTTTTGCGTGGAATGTGTCAGCTTTGGCTTTTTTTTTTCTCAACTTTTTTGTGCCATACCAATACAAACAAAATAAATAAACATGAGAATGCCTAAACCTGAAAGAAATGCAGGGGGGGGGGCAATATTTTTGGCCATGACTCTATGTATGTATGTATGTATGTATGTATATGCAGTCCAAAATGCAGTAACTCATTACATACAGTCAGCACTGAGAGTTGAAAACTGTTCAAAGGTGAAATCTGGTTGCTGTGAGCTATTGTTCGTTGCACATTGGTAAGCTTTGCAGTGACTTACCAAACTCTAAATTTTACTTGTGGTTGTAGTTATAAATGACACTGTTTTGTACAGAAAGCTGTTCAAATTCTAGCGGTGTGCTAGAAAAATTAAATATATTAAAATATAAGATTGCTTCCTGTGTTTTTTGCACTGTAAAAATTGCTTGCCGTTTTCTTGTTTTACCAGGACTGGGCATTTTTATGCTCGGATATCTTTGCCTCAACTAAGATTGACCCCAAAAAATTAACCCAGAAGTTAGAAGTGGACACGCAAAGTTTGGCATCGGTTAAAAAAGGTACAGTGTGCTTTACATTTCTTCTACATTGGTCAATGTAAATATTTATTAAGCCTTGGTAATTCAAACCCAACATCTGATTAAAGAATGCAGGAACAGTGGTTTGTAACCACATTTTAAAACCATTAGATGATGCCGAGATTTTAGCAGAAGTTATACAGTATTTACAGAGTCTTAACATCTCAGCAGGCCGCACAAACTACAATCTTATTATTCAATCTCATTTAGCTTTGCTAAGACCTTCAACACATTTTACCCTTTTGCAGCCACCAACATTACTATTATGTCAACAGCAGGACTTGATATCACTGCACCTCCCTGAAATGAACACGCACTAACAGAAATGGACATGTGCTGCCAAGTCCATGAGCCTGCACACTAGCTTTTATTCTGGCATCTGAGCACGTGTGAGTTCCCTCCGCCAGGATATTCAGCGGTAATTCAAGTAGATCCCATCGCACTCCTGACTGGGTATAACCCAAGATAGGTTGGTGCTGAGATGACAGCAGATGCCTCTGCAGATCAGTATTCTCTAGTAGAAAAGTCACTCGCACTCCAATATGAATGTCAGTCAATGTTGTTTATTGACAAAAGAATTGTCACATCGTATAGCGACGTTTCGGAACCGTGTAGGTCCCTTCTTCAGGTAAGCAAAGTGTCAGGTTATCCAGTGGTTCGCGCATACCCGTCAGTAGACTGCTCATTACAAGTCTATGCTATGTTCTGTGACATCAACCTCAATGTGTGCATCCCAAGAGGAAGGCTGATCAACACCACGAATTGTGTGGTGTCGCTGAAAGTAGCTGACTGATTGTGGGAAGACAGGAGCAAGGATAAAAACCAAAGCTATAATGTTATGATGGTACATATAGTAGATGGATGTTATTTGTTCTTTATTTCAGGAGTGAACTACCACTCTAAGGCCTAAAGTGTGCAAAAAAATGAAAAAAATTGGCTCTGGCAGTGAAGTGTTAAAAGGCAAAGGCCTATTGGATTGGAGGCAAATTGAATTCGTTTTTTTGGTAGGCAGCACACTATGCAGTTTTTGGTAATGTTAAAGGAAATTGTGTAGAAATTGTCCACTCAGATTGTAATGTGTGTGACCATGTTGAAGATTGGCTGTGCCAAATCCACTTTTGGAGCCTCTCTGTTAGTCAGTGAAGACGTCTGTACCATTATATGAACCATGAGGAGTGAAAGCGGTGGAGTCGAAACATGTGCTGTGCTCAGCAGCCACTGTATGTGACATTGGTTGGGGAGGGAAAGCAGAGGGTAGCTGGAAAGAGGAGAATCCAGCTCACCCTCCTGGGATAATTATTCGAGTTTCACCTGTATATATGTATATAGTGTATGCTCCGGTGACAGGGTTTCTTTAATGTTTTTGTTGTGGTGTGTTTTTAAAGAGGTTCTCTACAATTATGTGAATAAAGTGTATTATTATTATTATACGACTACTTGGTGGTTGCGGCTTGATTATATAAATGGCTTTTCCTTTTTTTATTCTTTCAGTTTTGTTGCCTGTCCTACACAGGAAATGATAAACTAGTAAGTGAGCACATACATACACAGCTCTGTAGCAAGATTATTCTTTGTCTTATTAAACAAGTATGACAAAGCTTTCAAATTCAATGGCAAAATAAACAAATGAAGTGTATAATTATCTCTGTCCATCCAGTTCTCAGGTTTGCAAAGCTCCGTTTCCAGACCTATAGAAGTGATCCATCAGCTTTACAGCCACCTGAACCACTTCTATCGGAGAGCCCGAAGCCAGGAGTTTGTTTACATCCTTTCTGCTGCACCTTTAGTGCTGAATCACTTCAGGCGGGTTCAGGTAACCCCCCTTAACCCGCTTAAATTGGTTATACCAGGAACACGGCCTACCGCTGTTTACGTACAAGCGATCCGGCATCTGTACAGTCGGAACTACCAGGGTCGCAGCGGTCGCAATTGCGACCGGGCCCTGGCGTTCCGCCTGTTGAGGGGGGGCCCAGAGAGGAAGCAGAGGGCACAAAGCTTCCTCACGCTGTGCCCCCCTTCCGGTAATGACGGCTCTCCCCTGACCGATCGTTAGAAGATCAGCAGGCTTCTAGCCACTAATCTCTCCTTCGATCATTGGACCCAGAAGTCAGTGCATTACATCACTTCCAGTGTCACTGTGTACATTCTCTGGCTCTTAGAGCCAGGAGAAGAAGCTGGTAAAGCAGATTTGGGGATCCCTTTGTGGTCCCCAGGTAACAGGGCTCTGAAAGGACCCTGATGTCTCCATACGTGTCCCCCCACGTGTATGCACGTACAACACAAACAGGCTTAGGGTGCGCCTGCGTGCAAAAACGAAATTTGCGTCACACGCTGCAAAACTTTTAAAGCGTCGCCTATGGGAGATTTTGGGTATTGTAGTTTTTTGCGGTTTCACGTGCCAGCGCAATTTTCATTTTAGTGTATTTTATCCTAATAATACTGGTTTGATAAACATTTGTGCAAATACTGTGCGACATAAAAACATTGGTCTGTGGGGCCAATCACTTTATGTGTTTTATGTAGAGGTGCACCAAAATGGAATTAAACTAAACCGAAATAAAAAAAATGGTCAGGCCGAAACCGATACCGAAAATGTTTTTTATTTTAATTTTTTCACTTTTTTTTTTGGCACACAGCCAATTATTCTGTAAACATTCAACTATTGTTCTTTTTGTCTTTTTCTAGAATTTTTAGTTGCTTTGGCATTCCAAGTGAATATAAGCCCCGCTTATCTACTCATTAACCAGTTGACATCCGCGTTGTTAAACCCCCTTCCCATCCAGGCCATTTTTCAGTATTCAGCGCTGCGGTACTTTGACTGACATTTATTCCGTCATGCAGCGCTGTACTGAAATGAATTTTATACCCTTTTTTGGGGACAGATAGAGCTTTCTTTTGGTGGTATTTATTCACCACTGGGGTTTTAATTTTTTAGACGCCCTCGGAGCCGGTAACAACTTTAAACCTTACAGTTGTGTTAAACTCTCTCAGCTCGGCTTCCCTGAACTTCCTATCCAGTACAAGATCAGGAAGAGTCTCCAGCAGTTGTCCATCTTCTAGCTTAGAACAGGCAGGAGAGGGGAGCAGGGAAGAGTCTTTGCTTGCTATGTCTGTGTGTTTGTGGAGACACACAAAGCTTACTAGTCCAAACAAGAGTGGCTTCATAGGACCCTACAAGGGAAAAGTGCCACCCTTAAACAGGATATGAGGACCAGCTAATTCTGCAGGAAACAAAAACTATTCAACATCAAGGAGCATCAATTGTAAGCAATTGAATCTGCTTTTAAAATGGCTTAAAACCCTTTTCTCTTTAGTATCACTTTAAATGACCAACTAGAGCAGAATGACACAGAAGCAGTGTATCACCTCCTCGTTGTGCATACATTGGAGAGAGAATGACTGTGGAGCCGTCCTACTTGCTCCACTGCCACGGTAGAGGGAGACAAACAGATCTTTGGATGCTCCTCATATCACATAAGTGGGTTCCAGGTAAAATGATGATCAGCATTTCAGTTGAGGGTGCAGCACTTTTGAGTTTTAGAGGTGGATCGTGTTGGAGGTGGTTGAAAGAGAGTTTAAATAAGGGAAATGTGTTACTAAGGCCCCTTTCACGTGGACGCCTGTCCGTCCCGATAAGCAGGGGACCCGTGCATGAATCCCCAGCTGAGTAGAGCAGGTGGCAATGGATGTCGCTGACATCTGTGTCCGTCCAGTTTTTTTCCTCCATCCTGCGATGGAGAAAGATTGAAGTTGCTGGACCCATGTTAGGTCTATGGAAAGTCAGATGAAAGCAGACATGTGTCTCTTTCCATCAGATTACCACCAATCTGTCGCGATCAGGTCCGGCAAAATGGAATTCTGTTTTGTTTGGGTATCCGACCTGGTTGCAGTTGGGGGTAAATCAGATGCAAATGGACGCACATCCATTTAGATCTGGCTGCCCATCGAGTAACATTGGGCTTGCGATCAGATCCGCCTAAAAAACTGATGGGCAGACCTGATCAGGATGAAAGGGGTCTAAGTGCATATGTTCCAGTGTAGTGACTAGACGTATTGCACTGGATACGTTGAAGCTTGTTTTCAAAGACTTTTTAGTATCAATATGTGTTGGGCATTGCACATTGAGTTATAAAGTAATCATATTGGTGTTAAGGTGGATATACTTGGTTTATGGTGTGAATAATAGCCTGTTATTGATGATAAGCACTACACTTTACGTTATCTTAAATGGTTACACATGACATGCACTAGGTATTATTATTAGGTATTTGTTATAGAAAAATGAAATAAATATAGATATACTTATTTTTTTTTTTTTGTGCTGTCTGTATCCCTGGAGCATTTCATAAATATTAGTTGCACGGTTTAGCTGTTTAAGTTGTTAAAACGTTTTTTATTGATATCTTGCAAAATTGCTTGGTGCTTCGGGTGCTGGGAAATGCAATTCTCTCTTGGGAACCACATGACAATGGGGTTCTGTTACATGTTCGTTGTGTACACAAAATAGAGATATGAGATTTCTAGCTCCTAAGGGAAGGGGAAGCAGAAATCGTTATCTTCCCTTATGCTGTGGTAAGCGTCATTTCTCATGTTCACAGAGAAGCAGAGTCTATTGTTCTGCTAGCTCCCTTGAGTTTTGCTCACATCAATTTTGACTATATGGTCTTCTTGCTGCATTGCATTATGATAACATTTAAATGTGTTCAGATCTTTCTTGGCAGAAAATGAATGTGTAGATGAATATATCCACTGAGGATAATCTATCGCCTGCTGTAAATTTTATAAGACTATAGTACATTTCAAGATCATGTAATATGGGTGGTGTCGGTGGTAGTGGCAAAGTCTGTAATTTTATAGTCTGTCCAGTCTTACAGCCACCCCAATGTTTTTCCTTGTTTCCTATTCACACCACAAGATCGGTGTGATTGGCGGTGCACTACGATAAAAAAATGCCAACATGCTGCATTTTATCACAGCGCAGC